TTTCTCAGAGTTCGTCCGATTCGCGGAGTTGTGCGATTCGGAAAGAGAGAGAAGCTACACCCTCGTTTTATCGATCCGTTCGAGGTTCTCGAGCGAGTAGGCGAGGTCGCGTATCGTCTAGCCCTACCTCCCGAGTTATCAGGCATTCATAATGTATTTCACGCATCGATGTTGCGTAAGTACGTGTGCGACCCCGATCATGTCATCCCTCATACGGATATTCAGGTTCAGTCAGATCTTACGTACGAGGAGCGACCGGTAGCTGTACTAGACCGTCAGATTCGTCGGCTCTGGAAGTGAGATATCCCCCTCGTGCGTATTCAGTGGGATCGCCACGGAGCTACTTGGGAGGAAGAGTCCGACATTCGCGCTCGTTTCCCAAATTTTCAGTTTTGATGTACATATTTCTTTATCCTATGTACATAATTCATATGTATCAGCTCTGTTTGGAATTTCCGAGGATGGAAATTTTGTAAGGAGGGAGGATTGTAATATCCCGATATTTTATCGGTATAAATTATGTTTTAATTCCGATATAATAATGTTAATGTTTATTATTTTCGGAATTAATTATTTTCAGTCGAGATTACCAAAATCTATTTTCGACGTACCGTTTACGTTCAGAATAATTTTGGTAATTAAGTATTATGTTTAATTGAATAATTAAACATAAGTTGAGTGATTAAATTTTAATTAATCACCATATTAGCCTAATTGCCGTGACCTAAGTCTATTCAAAGTTGTGACTTAGAAAATTTTCCTAACTTGTAGCATATAATAGCCGTGGGCTTTCTTCTCAATTGGGAAATTAAGTTTCCTTCACTAATAAGCATAAAACGTGGCTAATTAGGAGGCTAGCTTAGTAATCCAAAGTTCTCTTAAGTGGTAGCACTTGGAAGGCAAAGGAAAGGGCCACACATTATCAACGTCATCACCATCTCTCCCCCACGCCATATATATGTGCATGAGTTAGAAAATTTTCCCACCTTTCTCCTTAGCCACGTTCAGTATATGACTTTCCCTTTCAGCAGCTTATATCCCTTATAAGATCAGCAACTTAAACCAAGTAATT